CACATAAAAAATATATATATAATATAATACATATAGAGGCCCATTAGAACTGGTAGCAACAGGAACTTTCTGCTTGTGCACATTACAAATGAAACCATTCTGCAGTGAGACTCCAAAACAAACAAAACCCCACCCAATAAAAAAAGCTAGCCTTGTGCAGAATATGCTGTAACAACCACCTTATATTGAAGCACAAGAGAGATTCAAAATAGCAGGAACAGCACAGAGATAGCCAAGACGGTCAGCTGGAAGGAATGGCCTTCATATAAAGCAAGACAAAACGTAGTGGGACTTGTGCTTGAAAGAGCAACAGTATGACAGAGACATAAGCAATCAGGAATAGTATGTAGCATGGACACTAAAGGATTCTTCATAATTATTAAGCAATGAGCTTAAAATGAACAAAAAAGTTTTTTAATATACAACACAATTAAATTTTAGAACTCTCTGCCACAGGATGTTGCAATTCTAAGAATAGAAATACTTTTTAAAAGGGATTATATAAATTCATGAAGTATACTTTCACTGATGGCTAGCAAATATGCAATGCTGCCTCTAGCTGAGGGTACATGTAACTCTTCATAGTATTGCCACATATACCGAAACTGTATTTTTTCATTGTCCCATTTCTTATTTTCTTGCCCTCTAAATCCAAACATTGCTGCAACTGAATGCTGAGCTGACTGGTTCTCCAGCCTGATAGAGTAGGTTTGCTTTGAATAGGAAAAATAAAATTATTGTTATGGGATTGCAACCTAGCTAAAAGAAGTCAGTGGGAGTTAAAAGAATGAAATTAGGCATTTGGCCTCTTGAGCCTGAAGAATTATTGGCTATCTTGTGTGAACTGCTATGGCATTGGCAGCTGCCAACAACGCAACTACAAAGCAGAAGTGCTCCACTTATCAATTTGAAGTGAATTGCATTCTGCAGTTTGAAACTGCTCATCTCAGTTCAGTGACTGTTCAGTAGATTAGCATTTTATGGATTAGCAACATATTTTGTATTAGCTGTTTTTAAAAAGTTTACTGTGCTCACGTAAAAAGACGCAGGTTAGTATCAGATTTTAATATTAAACTAAAAAACCCACAAAAACCCAGCACAACTCTTCCTAGTACAAAAATATGCCTTTGGCAGATACAGTTTAATTAGTCAAAGCTATTGTGGGATTATCACTATCACAAATCAGAAGTGAAAAGCATCAAAGCAAGCAATTAATCTACATAAACTAAGTACTTTCAAAAACACACATTAAGATTTACTCTACCTAATGACAAATTGTCTAACATGGCAACTGCTCAAAAAAGCTAGAACTAAATTTTATAATTTTACAGTATGCTTTAACAACCAAGAAAAATAGCTAGACTAGCATTGTTGTTAGTGCAAAAGCTAGCTTACAGGAGAAGTGAATGTATTTTAAATTTTCTCAGTTTAGTAAAACTAATACTTTCAGAACAGAAGATCACAATATCAAGATAATTCCCCCCCACGCTAATAAGGACAACAGAAATACACTATTGCAATGGAAGAATAAAACAAACTGCATAGTCAAGCCATCTAGATGTTTTGCCAGATGTTAACTGACAACCATTTATTTAGTTACTGAAACATATACTAATGTTCAGGTTCTACCTGTAATGTATGCTTGCTATTGCAGCTTGATTTTCAGTGTCGAAAAAAAATATAACCAGTGCATTGCAAACTGGCCTTACTACTGAGCAAGACTGACAGAGATGGATCCCAGAACACAGCTCGCCAGACAAGAGAGATAAGATGTTTATTACCAAGCTACCAGAACACACTTGCCTCAAAATCATTGCTTAACTCAGTATACTTATTTTAACAAATGTTTACTTAACTAAATAAACGGTTGGTGAATAAAATTTAAGTGTACTTACCTGTTGTTGTATGTGAAGCTTGTCTTCTGCCAGCAGTTTGATTTTCGACCTTTCTAGCTCAACCTGGTGTACACATTCTTCTCTGGTTCGCCGCACAGAATCCTGTAGTTCCTGCAGATTTCGTTCATGCTGCAGTTGCAACTCTTTCTTTACTCTCTGAAGCTTAAAAGTGAGACAGATTTTTATTAACCCACAGGTGCAAGATCTTTATTTTAAGATTCTTTCTTACAAATGTTACTTGTATTCATGACAGAAACGACTGTTCTTTTTAAGAAGCGAAACAATAGAAATTCCATTGTTACCTATGTTTGCTGTATACTCTCTAACTTGCTTTCAGGTTAACTAATGACCTGCAAACTAATATATTTGGGTTACAAACATATTTGTGCTTGAGTATTGTAAAAATGGAGCCATCTGTGTATCTACTGTATTTTCTGCATGGGATTGCTAAAGGCAAATTTGGTACTCACCTTTCTACTACAAACTAAGAGGTTAAATACACCCCTTCACTGCAGAAATGGTGAAGTCACAGATAGAGCCAAGATGCTGTAAGATCAGTAAGACTGCAATCTTCAAACTGAGCATATTGAGAGAATTTCTCATTCAGCTAAATAGGAAAACAGTCTTTAGCATGTCTGAACTTTCTAGAAAGACATTACTGACCCAGATAACTGCTACCTGAATAGAAACCTCTCCAAGTGGCCCATTTCTAAAATTGTGTAATTGCTAAATTAACTCCACATAATTTTGTCTAAATGCTTTTGGAATCCACTGATCTTCGTTATCTCCAAACCTTCAGGTCAGAATCTCACTAAATTTACAGCAAGTTTTGAGACAAACATATACAAGATTAAAAATAAATACTTCTACTCAGACTGAAATGCACTCAGACAAACCTAATCAGCATATTTTTGCATAGAAGTTAAAGGTAAAGTCAGACACTATTTAGAGCACAAACTGCATCTTGAGGGATATAGAGAGACTGAATACAGAACAGGACACAGGCTCAGCCAGCCAGTGCCTGTGTTAGGAGCTTTCTTAACTTTGTTCACAAGCACAGGAGGGACTGATACGATAAAAAAGATTAATCTAAGCTACAGGAGGAAAGAGAGTTTGTTGAACTGCTAAATCACCACAGCAGTTTATCTATGTAATTGTGAGCTTGTTCTGAAGTACAAAAATAGGCAGTTTATTTTCTTTCTTTGTTTCTCTTTTCACATGACTAGCTTCCCTGAGGACTTGCACCCCATTTCCTCATTGTGTGGTTGTTCAGTGGAATCTAGAGACAATGGTAGCTACTATTTTCTCCTGCATCTTCTTTGACCCTGTCACTATAAAAAAAATGAAATAGGAACTGTATGAAATTGCTGGATAACAAAACCTGGACAATTACAATTTCTCCCAGCTCTCCTTGTCACCTGCTCCTATTTCAATGGTTAATCTAGCAGTTACCATTTGAAGTAAGGCACTCTTGTACACAGGTACAATGTTCACCTGACATTACTAAACATAAAATTGAGATAGGCTAATGTTTATAAACTTCTCTACTGACACTCTAATTCTATTAAGAATAGAAAATTTAGAGTTCTATCATTCTAGAAACCCATTTAAAAGTTTATTGAACTTCCATTTCAGTAAAAAAGTGTAGTTGTTACAAAATCTTACTTAAAGTATCAGTGGTCCTCTCTATCACTATGAATGCATTTATTTCAGTTCTTATACTCAGGTCACAAACCGTCTACACGAAAATGCCACAAGCCTTATAGAAATACCACATGCAATTGCACTGTTTAAAATGACCCAAACATTTTTTACCTCTGATTCAGCACTAAAAAGCTGTCGCTCTCGCTTATCTAGATCTCTCAGTGTCTGCTGAAGTTGTTCCTCCAAAACAGTATATTCTGCTACCTAAAAAAAAAAAAAAAGGCTTTTTTTTCTTTGCAATAAAAATTTTTTGTAAGGTGAAGAATTTACTCTATGATCTAAAATATTGACAACTTTTGTTTGAAAATTTACACCAGAAACAAATCTCCAGCTCTTAATGAGAAAGAAAGGTTTTCCATCATGATTTCCTAATACAATAAAGGTTTACAAGTTACCATGCACAGTTGAGCTGTAGAAGTGTTTGACCGTGCAAGTCAAAGACAACTAAAGTTAAAGTCCTCCAAAGAGAACAAGGTGATCAAGAGGATTTCTAACAAGTACTCTACGATTGAGGGCTACTATTAATTTTTCACATTGTTATAGACCACATGCATGCATACCAGTAGGTGTGAAGACTAATCACAGACCTTTTTATGTTACAGTTACAAAACAGCTTGTCAAATTTTATAGGGATATGAGATTTATAATGAGACTTTCTGCAAGTATGAGTTTCCTTACCTTTTTCTTCACTAATGCTTCTCTTTCTCTATCTCTTTTCTTCCATTCTTCTGCAAGTGCTTGCATATGGGCCATTTCCTTCTTTTTAAGCTTTTAAAAGCAAAAAAGGAACAAAAACACCGAACTAGAAAAACAAATCAAAATTGTTGGAAGTGCAACTTTAAAGGGCTGAGTACTAGCAGAGTTGAGCCTTGAAGAAAAATAATTAATAACTAAGTTTAATACACTAACTTATATAACCCAAGGTATAACTCTGATAGTGAAAGGTATTAGCCTTAAGTACAAAATGCAAAGCAAGCTTAAGTTTGAAAAAAAAATCCTAATAAATAGACACTAGATACTCAGTATCTTTTTAAAAGAAGTATGTGACTAAGAACACCTAGAATGACTTCAAGATTAGAAACAAAGCAATGGATTTTGACCAAGAATAAAGAAATGCAATGTTAATATTTAATGCCAATAGTTTGAATCTTCAGTGTCTACCGTACTTCATAAGCCATAAAGGGAAATTATGAAGGGAGTATTTTGTATTTCACTGCCTAGCACCTACTTCAGTCAGTTAACAGAAAGGAATCAACCTTCGTCCTTGAAAGTATGGGAGGTATTTGTGTACATCTCAAGTTTTAATATTCTATATGAGCAAAATCTAGTTCTTATTTGAAACAGTAGCAAAGTTTAAGAAAAATGCAGCTAATAATCCTCTCACCAATTCTGCTAAAGCTTCCTTGGCAGTCATGCAGTTTAGGAAATAAACAGAAAGAGCAAACACCTGATTTTCAAAAATGTCCTCTTGCATTTCCTTCCACATTTCTAACTCCAATGCTACCTTGTATTCAAGAGTTTCTCGAGGTTCTGGATGGTTTTCTGGGGTGCAACGGGGCTGAGAGAGAGGGACATGATGCTGCTGACCAGCACCTACACACTGAAATAATGACAATGGGTTTTTAACTGCAAACCAAATTTTTCAAAGAATTGTTCAAGGGAAAAAGGTAAGATTTATGTAATATTTACTTGAGAAGAATCTGACACCAGAACTTCTTGTATTTTCACAAGCCCATAGTCTTCCAAAGTGATAGCATACGAAAGCTCTGCTATCCTGCTGCCTGACCTATAAACAGCATTAGAATGTTACTTTAATGAAAACTGTCTTAAGAACACAGAAAGAGAATGGTAAAACAGCATGCAAAACAGTAAAGTTGAAGTGCTAAAAAGTTCTGTGTAAGTTCAGACTCTAAACAGTTGCCTACATGTGAGCCCAAACTAGTTATACACAGTATAGTAAGTCACTTAGCATATCATGTGTGATAGGCCATTCTTAGATTACCAGAAATGACATTTCTGGAAGCTTCTGCACAGAAAACTGACAACATTAAATCCCCTTATAGCTTGAATATCTATCTGCTCTTTTACAGTGAAGAAATGTTTAAGCAATAGATATTTTAATAAACAAATTCGAAATTTGTTGCAGTTTCTGCTTAAGTAGAACAGTTTTTCTCTGGCTGTCTGATCTTGAATCATAAAAACTATAGTAAACATAGGTAGTTTTCTGCACAGAAAGGCATCAAGAGAAGGAATATGCACAAATCATGTAACTGAAAGTTATCACTAGTCTAACATGAAAGTACACTGCAGTAGACTGGTAGACAAGTAGATCTGTACCTAGTCAGAAACAAACTATCATTTCAGTTATAACTACAAAATGACTAAGGGCAATTACACAATCACTTGAAGCCTGGAAGCTGCAGAATTAAATATCAATCAATTTGCAACAAAAGGCTGCAGGAATTAATCATGGCTGTAGTTTTCACAGAAATCCTCTTTCAACAAATACAAAAAGAAAACACCAAAATATTTTTTTAAAGGTGAAATCTTCTACACAGTTATTTGCAAGAGAAAAAAAAACCCAACAAAACAAAACTAAGACATTTGTTCTTCACATCAGTTAACATAAATGAATGCATTAAAAGTTTTACAACTTTCTATCAGTCACTGACTAAGAAAGAAAATCAGATTCAAGGTGGAGGACCTCAGAAATCTAAGCAATTAAGTCGGTTTAACATATCAGTGTAAAAAGAACATTACACCTACAAGAGCAAAGCTAGAAAGCTAACAGCACAGCAAAATGCAGAGAACTGATTACATTTTGAGAACGCCATCTAGTGGTGAAGTGTAGTGCACAAGCCAGGTTTCATTTTAACAAACTTACTACTGGTGAAAGTGTGAATCTTAATGTACAGTGAGGTCATAAAGTAACTCTTCACAAAATCGGGCCATGCTGGCTTTCACACTAAAAAGCTTAAAGTCAGAGATCAATTTTCTATCGATCTGGGATGAGGGAGGATATCAGTAACCTTAAATTTCCTGTGTGTCAAATATAGCATGTTTTAATTATCTGTAGGATTAGATGTTTAAAACCAGTCTTAGTATTAATAGCAATTATGTTTATTTCTAAAGGCATAATTAAGCTTCATTACCACACAGAAAAATATGAGGATCTAGACACTGATCTCTAGCACAGTTAATATCAGCAAGGACACAGGACAGAAGTGACTGTAAATTAAGTTTCTTTATATACATGAAAAAGAATGTCATTCCTCTGTGTAAATGAACATTATCTTCAGCCAGAATATTAACAAATCACACTGCTTCTTTTGATGTACAGAAGCTCAAACTGCTGCTACTATCATATAGGGTATAATCCTGAAACAAAACCTCTCTAACTCTAAAGAGGTATGTGTTCTCCTAACTTTCACTGAAGTCAGTTCCATCTAAATATCAGCAGCTTTTTGTAATTTTTAAAGTAACTTACTCAGGAAAGTGCCTCAAAAACATTTTTTCCATTTCTTTAATCCATCTGTGAAGCTTACACGAGATCACGATTATACAAAGGTTTATTACAATGACGCTGGTAGTGGTGTGGGATTGCACAATATGCCTGTGGCAATTTAACTTTCCATCTCCTGGATGCCTTTTCCCACCTCCGTATAGCAGCACTCTGCAGCCTGTTAACTTATTCAAAAAGGTAACCAGGAGGAGCTCGCCTTTTTTCAGGGAAATACTAATGAAACAATTCATAAAACTTGCTATAGAGTAATTTTTTAAAAAAGTTTTACCCTTGTGCTGCTGTGACGCTGACGGTTTCGTTACAAGTCTGCCGCCAGCATTGTTCACCATTACCACCCAAGAATCGCGTTTTTTCTGAAGCCAGAACATTTGAAAGCTGAAGCCTCGCCACCCCTAGAAATAAGTCTTTAGCTGTTTTATCCTTGTGCCACAATTCAACCAGCAGAGGTAATCTGAAACAGTGAAGTGATTTTAGTGTCGGACATCAACACAAAAGAGGAAGCATTCCTATTCATTTGGGAAGAGAACCTCATGTTCTAAAAGTCACTTCTCAAATCAGTGATGGTCACGATTTTCAAACAATGAAATGGGTTTACTGCCTCTGATACACAGAGGAATGAGACTGACTGACTTTGTATCACTAATTCACTCTAGTCAGATTATCATTCTTTTCTCCAGTTATTAGAAAGAACAATGCTGTCGTGAAAGTGATTGATTAAATCTTAACAGACCTACATAATCTTCATTTATAAATACCTATAAATAAATTTCAGTCACTGGCACTCACAGAATACATCTCTTCCACCTCTTCTTTCAAAATACCACTATTATGATGATTCTTTAGGCCACATCTAAACAGTTATCAAAAACTGGTGGTACTACCATACTACCCCTAACACTGTATGCAGCTTCCTAAGTACTTGCTGTATTTTTTAAGATATCGGACTGCCATGGTGTATTAGGTCAGTTTTTAATTTTCTCTTTATTTTATTTGAAGCAATGCTTTGTTAAAACTATGCTACCAACCTTTAATTTAACAATTTACAGTAACAGCACTTGCTTCTGTAAGTAATGATCTCTGCATAAGTACTCAAGATATAAAAGCAAGAATTTTAGAGTCCTTGTTTTTAAATGCAAGTAATAGAGAAACTAGAAGAGTAGCGTTTTAAATATTCATTGGTATTATCACTTGGATTCTTTACTAAATTCTCAAACTGATGATCTTAACTAAAAAAAATCTGGACTTGGGACTGCAATTACAATGGAAAAAAAAAGGTGTAATTAAGACAAAGAATACAAGTAATCACCTGAAGAATGTATCTTGAAGCTGATGAGGCATAGTTGCAAAGTCAAATGTACAGTAAGACTGTGGAAGAAAGACTTCCATGTTCTTTCTAACTTCTACAGGTGGGCTTGTCATAATAGGTGCTGCACTGCCAAAAAATGGATACGAGTACCTAGTAAAAACAGTAAAAAAATAATCAAATAACAATTTAATATATAGATTTTTCTTATACCTACTGCAACAAGAAAACCAGCTTAGCTATCTGTTACTGAAGCATGACTTCTATTAAAGTTAGCAAAATTTACACAAATACATCCAACAATAGAATTTAGTTCTCAAATATTCATGTTTTCATTTATTTCAGTGCTGATAAAGTTTTACTTATATTTGCTGTTATTTTGACAAAAAAGCTTTAATAACCTGTATGTTCACAAGCATATGAACTAACCTTTTATTAGATTTCTGCAATTATATAAAATGAAGAGAGAAATAGAAGGAATATTTTTTTCAGATGTAGATTGCCACTTGAAAACATAACTATATTTACAACCAAGACTGGTCTAACATGCAATAATTGATAACTAAGTATACATATATGCAGTCTCAGTATAACTTGACATTTTCAATCACATTTGAAAAACAATCTAGTTTTTAATTCCCAGTTTATTTCACTAAAAGGAAAATCAAATAATTTTACCAATATGATTTACAATGTGACGTGAAACTACTCTACTGGCACAATTCAGTGTATAGTAAACTACAACAATGCAGAAGTCAGGAAGCTCTTGAACTTCACTGTGCTCAGACTGATGATGCCAGCTGTTAGCTAAGCTCCTAATAAGAAAAAAAAAGCTATACCAAATGCTCCATCAAATGCTGCCACTTATAAAATTCCATATTTAAACTGCCTGTGCAAAACTGTTTAAAGAACATGTTTAGACTTGAATGAAATAATGCTACCCATATAGAGTGAAAATGTAATTTTTTTACCCTGCGACTTTTCTTAGCATTTGTGTTTAGACGTTTCTCCTCTTCAGGTTCTTGTCATATTCATCACTAGCTGTAAAAACTGAAGTGCATGAAACAGCAAAACCTATTTGTTGCCACAGTTCTGAAGAAAATTCATTTTTGGAATGTTATGTGAAAAAAAATTATATAAAAAGCTTTTTTATTACAATATAACATTCACTGTACACTGTTTTCCACATAGTTTTATAATATAGCCTATACAGAAAACCATTAATGATGCAATCTGTATTAACTGTGTTTTGAAATATTCTCCAACCCTACCTTTTCACACTAGTTCAAACAAAACAAATTCCAAGAATCATTCACACAAATAAGACTTCCCAGTGACCAGTTAAAACTGTATTGAAACAAACTGTCAGAAAAACAAATCCAAAACAAATGCTTATACACCTACATAGCCACAAATAGTTAGCACTTTCAAACTGAACCATCATTTAAAGATATGCTTCACTGTGTGCACCAAAAGGGCCTTAATAGAAACTAGAAGGCAAACTGTAAAAACTGCTATGAATCACTGAATTCATATATGCTATCAACAGCTAATATTCCACAAGTAGGTTTTTTGTTTGTTTGTTTTTTAAACAAAATCATCACTGTACCTACAAACTCTTGTTTCTAAACTCTAAGGAAAAGCTAGAAAACAAACAAGTTTGGGGTTTTTTTTGCAAGTTTCTCTGTTCACTGGCAGTGCTAAAAAACCAACCAAACCCAACTTGCATACAGATACTGGTTTCAATGCCCTTACTTTTAATCAGTCCTTCACATTTTAGTTCTTGTTCCTCCAACTTGGTACTCACCTTCCAGTTAACATCTGCTTATGCTCCAAAAGTACTCCCATACTTTTCTTTCATGTTGGCATCAGTAACACATTAATCTCTACACAATTGTTCTTAACTAGCAATGGTAGTTTTATACTTCTGCTACAGGCACAAAACTCATGCGTCCAAAAGCTTATCTTTTTGTTAACGCCACAAATGAATGCAACTAAAGATGTTGCTCCTCCCTACTAAGCTTTGCTTCTTGTATTCAAGGACTATCAAAAAACCCGGTACTACCTCTCAGAATGATAATGCAGTTACTACACTGGTTCTTCACTTTCAGACTAGCGTGTGATTCCTTTAGATTCACTATCACACACAAACAAGGTGATCAGTCCCTTACTAAAACACTACAAGGAGTTTCTGGTGGAGACATGGAAGGCTACAGAAATCACTCCTTCAATCAGCTGCAAAGGCAGTCAGAAAGTAAGGAAACAAGTAATCCTCCTTTTCCTCTAAAGACAGAATGATGATCTGTATTTTCTGAGTTTAGATATTCAAGTGAGATTTAACAGAGATTACAGTTCAGGCAAAATGTTACATACTATCTTTAACACTGTAATTCTCAGAAGCTTAGTGAAGAGCCAGACGAACATCCTGAAGTACTTCACTACTGAAAATCATCTACATAAAAGGCATCAGGCAGCATACTGCCTGCAATCATTCAGTTTAAGAAGGCTTTGTATTGAAAACAAAGGTATTATTATCACCAAGAATAAGATCAACAAATATAAGTCATACCTTAAAATGCAATTTATTGGAAAACCAACTTCCAGACTACGTATACTTCGTAAGTCTACTGAAAAACAGAAGTGGTGAGAGGCTGCAGGAATTACAATTTTCTGTGTTGATGCAGGCTCAGAAGAACTGGATGCACCCACAGGGTTGGGTTGAGATGCAGCTACCAGACCATTATGAGCTGAAAATACAGAAGAGAATTTGTGTGCATTTTTTATAATTTGTTCTGCCCAAAATAACACAATATTAAAGATAGGTCTCACTTTTTTAATGCAAGTACAGATAGGATATTTCCCCACGAGATTTAAATTCCTTCTAATGTAAGTTAGTACTATGAAAAATAGCCTATAATATAGCAAGTTACTGCTTCCGAAGAAAAAAACCATCAAAACCCTCAAAATACTTTAAATCTTATAAGGTTCTGTAATCTTTTCCCTCTTTTTAATCTTTAAAGCTATATCAGTTTATTTCACTTACAAAAAGTTTAGACTAAGATAAAAGATACTAAATTCTTCAGAGGGATGCTACAAGACTTCAGTGTCAACAGTTTACATAATTATTCCTAGCCAAATTGAGGGCATGTAAGGTGGGGTTACAAAAAAAAAAGAAATCATTTGTAGTAACTTAGTTTGCTTTGAATTAACTAACATTTTTAGTTTGGGACTGAAAAAGACAAAGGATCAGGTCAATCACAGTGCTCTTGTAAGGAAGCATCATCTATTGGTCCCAAGCTGAAGTTTTAACTATTGAAATAAACTAAAATCTCTAGCTAGGTCTGCAATGCACATCTACTTATGACCTTTCATCAGAACCCACCTACTGTGACATCCATTTTATACTTTATGAAGCAGAAGCAAGTCCCTGTTCAACTGCATCCACGCTTCCCAAGTCCTTACACAGGGACCCAATACTGCCTTCAAAGAGTAACAGGTTGAACTACAGGTTTTACAGACAGGGTTTCCAAAAGGCATCCTCAAAAAATGTTTAAGATAGTAAAGCAGAGAAAGAAGCAAAGAAACTGTCAGTGAATAACTCAACCACCTTTTGTAAGTGCTAGTTGTTCAGAAACTCTTTCTTCATAATTACCTAAAATGTTTCAATTTTTGTAATTTCTAAAGAAATATATCCTTGCTAGCACTATTTTCTTCCTGCTTGTTTGTTTTATTTACACTAGCACTAACAATAAAGAAGAATTAAATACTTCATCATCAGCCCACCATAAGATGGAAAGAACTTTCAGTTATTCAGGTAAAATGTCACTAGATTTCTTCATGCAATGAAGTGTCTGAATAGAAATTGAAGGCTGTCTCAGACAAGAGAACATAAATTTGCATACAGCCTACTATTAAAATTAAATTATTTGCTACATATTACAATTTCAATGTACTAAATTAAATAAGTTTTTCATTACTGGAGTTTTGCAGATCTGACAATAGAGGTAATTCTGCTCTGCTTTGTGATCTGAAAACTGGAAGATCTTCAGTATACTGTTTGTTAACCTCTTGGGAAGATTCAGCTACCAGACCTAAAACATAAACGTGAAAATGACATATTTTACATTTTGCCAAAACAGAGAGTTATAAAATTATTACTATTAATAAAAAAACAACCCAGTATTTCCTAACCACAGATTCAAACTAGTTGCTGGGTTGACAATACCTCTTGATACATTCCATATAAAGAACTTAATCCTTGCTTAGATAAGATCAGTTAGGATTAAAAGAAAATCTGGCTGAATTAGTAGGCAAATCCTGAGAACACATTCAAGGACATAGATGTTCTGCTACAGAACTGTGTGTCTTTAGGACCAATCTCAAAAGAACAGTAATTCATATATCACTAAAAAAATTATTTATAAATATTTTTTAAGAAGATGCACGTTCAGTAATGTTCAGCAAAATAACATTCTTCTGAGTTCTGCTTTATTGTTACAGTATTCCTCTCTCATCTCTGCTCATCTTCAACTTCTTTCTAACCCAGTCCTCACATCAAAAACAAAACAAGGGAAGTCTTAGAAGGTTATGTGGGCTACCAAGACCCTACAAAAGGATAATGTATATACAAACAAAAAACCCACTTGCTTGGTTTTGTCCAGTATGAAAATTTGTTTTCAGTTTATTATCCACTTAGTAAATTCCTTAGAAATATTAAAGATCCCATATTTCCCCTGCCTTTCTATTTGATATTGTGACCATTAGAACATTTAATCTCCTCACTGAGGAAGCCAGTTTCTTCATGGGTATCATACTGAGCCTTCCCATTGTCAAATTCAGGAAGTTTCAAACACTTCTGGTGTTATTTTTCAAGCTGATGACCATCCACATCACTTATAATCTATGTACCATCAAATCTCTAATCTGGTTCTTTGAAGTATTTTCAACAACCACTATGTTCATTTATCCTCCTCCTAGCATTTGTTTTACATAAAACTCTCTCCTTGCTATAAGCAGAGAAATCTTCAACTAGATTAGGTTGCTCAGAGCTCCATTCAGTCTGGCCTTGAATGTTTCCAGGGATAGGGCATCTACCACCTCTCTGGACGTGCCTGAAATTTATCACCACAAATGAACAAGACACGATCCAAAACCACACTTGACAACTGAGGAAAAAGTTATATACCACCTACCTGTTTTCTTTAGTTTTGTGCCTTTTTCAAACTTAAGGCTTTCCACTTCACTTTCTGTTGCTTCATCTTCTGCAGAAGACTGGCCATCCTGAGACAGGATGTTCTGGGATCTCTGCTGCAGATTCTCTGTTTTTCCACTGCTAGGTGAGAGAACTTTCTCCTGTGGCTGTTTAGGTTCAGTTGGAGCATTTAAGGGAATCGAAGGCTGAATGAAGTGATATGATTTTCTTATTGATCGTGGCTTGCACTGAAAAACTGTCTACAACATTTCTATAGTTTGAGGTTATTTTTCTGACATAGAAAAGTGAGGCAAATAAGTTATTATTCATATGAAGTAACTTATTCTTTCAGGTTTGCTTTTACATACTTGTTGAATATGACTTACGAATACCATTTTTTTTTTAACATGAAACTGTGCAACAGTGTCTAAGTCAACAATAACCAGTAACCTGTACCTGAGCACTCAAGGTCTCCCTTTGCAGGATTACAGATACCCCAATAGTTGGAGTCATATCCAAAGGCAATTGTGGTAGTTCCTGTTTAGCTCTATTTGGTGGAACAAGGACAAATGCTTCTTCTATTGCCACAGGATGTTGATCTATCTCCACACCTCCTTTCTTCAGTAGTCCAGACAGGGGTATTTCAGTGCTTCCAAGAGACTGGTCTCCACAGCAAAGATGGATCTGTATACATAACAAAAGTGCTATAAAGCAACTGGCATGTGCATCCCCATTTGAATTCCTGTTCTCCCTCTGCTGAAGGTAGCATAAATACAACAAATTAAAAGATCATCCCTAGTTCAGTCCCTGTATGCTGAGAACAAGTGCTTTGAGCAGTATATGAAATTTCAGTATTGAGTAGGTAGGATTTGCGCAGTGCTAACACAGCAGCAGAACACTGCACTGCCCTTCTGAGGACCTGTCGTATCACCTGATCTAGAGGACAAATTCAATAGCTTGTGGCTAAACACAGCACAGATTCTTGCCCTTAATGCGTAAACACATAAAATGCATGACTGCAGGGTAAAGAAGAAACAAAAGTTACTTGAAAGCTCAGACTTTGTGCATATATTTAGACACTACTTAAATAGCAAGGATTTTTGCAATTAACTGTGTTCTTAATTTCTTGTAAGAATCATTATTCCTTTTTCAAAACTTGACTCAACTTTCTTCCTTCAGCCCAACACACTCTAAGGTGATTTATTTTTCTCAAACTCATATCAATGTGCTCTTTCACAACAAGTCACTTCTGTTTTAGTAGAGCAGAACACCAAATTCATAGACTAAAACATCAGTCCATATGTTTCTCCAAAAACTGTCATTAAGAAAAGTATTTAAAGTTGAGCAAAAACGTCTGAAGCAATATAGATTTAAACAGAAACATTCTTAAGCTAACCTGAATAACCAAAGTAATATAGTTTGTAGAAGTTTAAAAAGAAATTCAACAGGCCAGATCCAACACTTACAGTATAACTAACACCGTCTTATTTACCAGCTATGTTATTAGAAACCCTATACTACCCTCAACCAAAGAGTCTTTTGTTTTGTAATACATTAAGTATGAGCTAGAGGCATGTTTCCATAAACTTTTTCAATACTACCCAATATTTAGAGTCATGGAATAATTTAGGTCCCAGAGCTCAGAGCTCTTGAGAATGCCACATTAGCTCTTCGAGAATCTCATGTTTCAGCAACAGCTTTTATCACAATGTGTAAACCCAGCTTACTATACCAACCACATTAAAGAGACTGTGCTCTGTCTGACTTGGGAAACTTGCTGCTAGGGTTTTCCTCATATCAGCAAGAAAACCAACTTATATTTGAGCAAAAATACTGTAATACAATATAGTTTTGGAAAGAGAAATGCTATCCAGTTTCAGCTTGAACCATATTCTATTTCTTTTATTATCATTATTTATTTTCATTCACACTTAAGAAATGGCTTACCTGTAATTTTGACTGTGAACAAAAATAAACTTGAAGGATATCAGCTGTACTACGTATGCGAACTGAAGCTCTTTCTGGCTCAAAGTTTGGATTAATTAAATCAGTAAAAGGTTCATTTGTGACATCATTTCCCAGTAATGAGTAGTAGAAAAAAAACTCAGCCTGTTGCTCAGGAAGCTTCATAGTACTAGGAACTAACTAAAAAAGATGCACAAAAGAATAATGTATCTCTCTCATTAATGTACAGTTACAGTAATCCTTAAGCATTAGCTTGGAAATTAAAGAGCTTAAAGTGATCTTAGACTACCAAGTAGCTGACCTAAATCCTAGCTTGCACTACACACAAAATAAAAAATATTAACACTGAAACTGAATTTTAAGAATAAGTATCTTATTTTTCAAGCATACCAAAAACTTGCAAATTTACTCATTTTGAACTACTTTTAAGATATATCAGCACCAAGGGCTATAACTGACATTATTGAAAATATGATGTCAAGCGCTGCACAAATATTCAGAAATAAGCAGTGCCTCCACAAAATATTTATAGTGTAAATAAACAATGCAGATTAGATATTGAGTGATAGAGTAACTTATGTGATTGAATAAAAGACTAGAACAGCCAGAAACGGCTGCTTCGTTCTGTAGCCACTGCAACTGTGAGTTCAATGGCTAAAAAGGCACAAGCTACCCCAGAGTGATCATAGTAAATTTACTTCACAAGGCGCTATAATTATGACATGGAAAATTATTTTCTTTGAATAAAGATGACAAGACTTAGGAGAGTTTATCATACACTATGAGTTATAGATCAATTAAAATCATGCTGACTTGGAGTCATACTTATATGTTTAAATCAGACAAGGTGTTTTAGTGTGGTACAGTACAGCATAAATACAGCAGCTGACGTCTAAAGCTGAAATAATCACATTAGCACAGCACTTCATCCAAGCCAGTAAGTCATGCCTCTAGGCAACATATAAACTCTATTGTTCCATATATCTTATAGATCTGAAAGGTATTACATCTTGTTTGAATTTCAGCACATGGGTACCACACTGAAGACTGATACTACGCATACAGTGCTTTTCATACTACACTATAATACAGATCTATGCATTTCATAAAACTTTTAACTTGAAGTAAATGCAATTTTTGTGCTCTGAAAGAACTCTGATCTTTCATCTGTAACTTGACATGTAAGCATTGCATAAAGTTTTAAAATTCAAATTCAAATATATAAATTCAATATGGGACAAGGCTATTTATTGCAAGAAACTTACAAGACAATAAAAAAATCTTAAGTAGAAGTAAGGCATGGGTGGGTGAAAACACAAATATAGGATATTACTTCTTAAAACTACACATAGGAAGGAAACAAACCTGTTCCAACCGTGTGGCAAATGCAATGGTTACAGACAAGACAAAGTAGTCTCTGCAATGCTCTGCTGGTCCAATTTGATGATAGCCCTCTTCCTCATTTAAGACTGGTACAATACTTTTAGGGTCTAGTCCAGAAAGAAGGTCAAATGCTAAGAGAGAAGGAAAAAAAAGTAGGTATCTTGTGACCTTATTCATTGCTGCAGGAATCTTATATGTAAATGTAATTTTATGTTTAATTATTGTACATGTGGAAATAAAAATTACAAATAAAGAACTTGACACTTTGCTTCAAAGCATTTCAACACAAAAATTCACTAAGTATACTTATGTATAGCTATAAAACAATTCTGAAATTTATTCTGTACACAATCCTAGACAGAATGCTAGTGCATATTTTTATTTAATGTTACAGTGAGTAACATTACAGTGACTGGAACTTTATTTCATTAGGTTAGAGTCTACCATGCTGTTTCTGTATTTTATTCATCAAAGCAAATGAAAGACAGTAACAACATAAGATAATCTGTTCAACTGTTGAAAAAAGTATGTTGACTCATTCCACAGATCTCTGGAATGTTTCATTTGAAGATTTTTCATCTGAAGTCTTCAATGCATAAAACACTGTATTCTGGTTTACTAGTTTCTACTCTATAGTGTCAGTATTTCAGTACATTTCAAAGCACCTCGAGTTACACCAAACAGTAATAAAATGTTGGTGGTGTTATTAATAATAACGATGATAATTTTAAAAATTTAGTAATTGGTAGCAATAGTAATAATTCTGGTTGTGAACCAAAAGGCCCCATTTCAAACACTGGAAACTTTTGTCTGCTTAGGTCAATGAAGAAAGAAAAATATTTTAAAAAAAAGTATGAATCCTAAAAGGAAAACACCTCCTAGAACCACCTTTGTATTACCCAATGCTTGGAGTATCAACTTGAAACCTGCAAAATACTACATGTTTGTTTTCCCCATTGTCTAAATATGGTATTGACTAATATTGAGACAACAGAAGAAAGGGAAAAGCTGGCAAACTTGTTTGTTTAATTTAGTCCACAGAAAGCAGGAAGTGGAAGACAGCATTGTCTGAAGGCAAAACGGATTTATTGTATTTTCTGTCAGTTTCATGAGGGGTAGGATTGCTTGTGGGCAGAAAGATCACAAGGCAAGTGCAGATTAACTAAACAATTACGGTCATTCTTTGCCTCTTTCACTAACCTTACAGTATGCAAAATTCCCTGTGCTTTGTTGTGAACCTGAAAGGATGGAGTAAGCTAAGTGATTACACTGGAATTTCAATACTAGTTTAGCCATTTGTGCAATGCAGCTAAGAAGTTGAAGTCTGGGCCAGAAACTCTGTGAAACACTCACTGCCACTGACCACTTCATTTTTACAAAACCACAGCCACAGATCATGATAAGTAGACAGTAAATTCAGAACTAGAAAAAAGGTACCCTCAGGGCAAGAACACAAAGTACTGTAAGATAGTAGGTGAAAATCCACTAGTTGTTACAGAAGCTCAGTTTTTAGAAATTAAACGGATAGGTTTTTGGGTGGCTGATGAGAAGGCAGATAAATCTGCTTTTGTTTTTTAAATCAAGCTTATAAGGGACTTTTGTAGGGTTCGGGATTTTTTAACTATAAATTTGCATTTAAAAAACCCAGATACAAAAATGACTGAAAAGCACAGCACAAAGACATCTACTAGTATTAATATTTGAATTCTAATATATTTTTGACACGTTTCACTACTTACTTTTGAGAGGAACGTACAAGTGAATCCAGAAGTGCAATGAGTGCCAACAGTTAAAGTAGATGTTACCATAAAAACTTATCAATAGAACACGATTTACATACTGAATGATTTAGATTAGATGAAAACCCATCAGAAAAGAGAAACATTCTACCCAAGAAATGAAATATTGCACTGCTTTATAATTCCAAGCCCAAACCACTGAAGCTGCATTCTGTAAAGAAGCTCCATTTTTACTTCCTTATTATAGAACTTTCCAAAGCCCTGAAACATGAGTAACATTACATAGAAGTAAACTAGGAATCCCTGAAACCGAAAAAAAAAATGTTTTCACTGTGAGGGTGACATAACACTGGACAAGGCTGCCCGGAGCGGTTGTGGAGTCTCCTTCTCTGGAGACATTCAAGACCCTCCTGGACACGTTCCTGTGCAACCTAGTCTAGGTGATCCTGCTCTGGCAGGGGGGTTGGACTGGATGATCTTTCAAGGTCCCTTCCAACTTCTAATATTCTGTGATTCTGTGGTTCTGACTCTGATTTTAAAGATCAGTTGGTCTGCAACAAGGCTCACCTGAAAGTCACACAGTTGCCACAATAAATCATCCTTGTGATGTAAAGGATTTGCATTGGAAACGCTATGAAATTAAAATTCTCTTGAGACTTAATACATTTGCAGCAAGTGGTATGTTCATTTGGCACAGGAACATTTTTAACTCAAAGAGAGTTCTTACTATGTTACTTACCCTTCCATTCTCTACGGGGTGCCTCCTTTGCTTTAAAGTCATCCACTAGTGCTTTTGAATCAGTCTCCAACACAACACCTACTTGTATTTCAGATTTAAATTTAGTGTACTTGTTACTAAGCAGAGGATACCATTTTGGGGCCTAAATAATAAAAGATGAAAATGAAAACAAAAAGCATTTAAAAAACCCAGAAAAAATAAGTAGTGTTACAGAAAAAACATACTTGTTCTACCACTTGTACCTCAATCTACAGAAACACACCGTGGTTTCCCAAAAAATTCGTCTATCTTGTGTACACTATTATAACTGAAAGATTTTATAGAATGATTGCAGGAAGACTTGATGCATATACTCTTTTTCACTGATTTGTGCAGTAAAAAAGTTAGCAAGAAAAATATGTCATAAAACTTTAATTAGAAGATAAAATCTTCAAGTTCTCAACCTGAAGTGCACAGCAAGTTACATGGATTACAAATTTTAAAAAAGTATTATGTCAAAATAAGACTCTAAGGTCGTGTTAAGACAAATATCAAGTTAAGTTAAGTTAAGTTTTGATCAAGTACAACACAGAATTCATGCTTACTCTATGCTGTGTTAAGGGGCTAGAACTTCTGATCACCTAACACATCCTCCATAGATGCTCATTAAAAAAAAACACCTTAAAACTTGATTTAATGATGAAGACTCAATTAAATTGCTCAACATCAATAGCTTTGATAAATTTTTCTAGGCAATTAAATAATTGAATTGCTTACAAGTACTGCTTACAAGTGTCCCAGTTTGCACATTCAGAAGTGCAAGATGAGTGCAAAAGTATTTTCATTTGTTCATGTTCTTATATAAAGGTGTCTTTTCTCTAAAGAAAAAAAGTATGTAATCAACTAGGAGTCATACTCCAAAACAAGCTCAAAAGTTACGCCTGTGCCTTAATTAAAATTCTACTATATGTAACAGTACCGTTGCGTCAGAACATAATTTTTTATAGCTTTACACCCCATAACATACCTGTTTCTTTTCCTGCACAGCCCTTAAGTCAAGTACAATATATCCTATATTCTCTTTAGTTGAAGATAAAAGATCCAATGCAAAACACTGGAGTTTGATAGGTGTACGCTGCAGTCTGAAATAACAGTTGAAATGCAAAACATAAGAGTTAACACTGCAATTAGTTCACGAAAAATAATTCATAAGTTTTAAGCATACCAGTGATACAAAATTTATTTGTTACATAACTAGTTTTAGTGGGTCAAAAACTGAGTTTATATTGAATGTCTAAAAATTCATAATGAAGTGGATTAATTTTGTGAGAGAAGTGTTGCAAGACATTAGTGACAAACAAATCCAATCACGTCCACATACAAGAAATAAGCACTACACCTCACATGTAAATGGAATTTCACTTGTAAGTATATCTTAAAAATAGGACTTATGAAAGATTTTTGCACAAAGCATCTAACAGTACTTAGAGGCACAGATAAGCATAAAGTACATTCACGTGTTTTTCTCCTTTCAAACATGGAAACCCTATTTGATTTCTCAGCTTTTCTACTGGACATTTTCAAAAATACTCTACCATATGCTTTTTCAGGTTTGAAGTTAACTTAATTCTGTGTCACAGCATACATAAAAAGGCTTGAATCCAATGCTTGCACTATAGCATTATTAATTTGCTGTAAGGTCTTGCATTTTTTCAGTAGTGTGAAAATACATCCTCTAGAACTTTTAAAGATAATTTATCTTGCCACATACTATGTCTGTTTGTTGTGACACTACGGTAGATCAGTGTACAACTAAAAGACAATTTCTATAAAAGATCCATATGACAGCTAACATGAAGACTGTATTTCATTAGATGTAAATACAAGAAAATTAGGTTTTTATTTCCAAATTAGACTTAACTTTAGACTTAATGTTACCTGTGTTGATGAAGTGCTTTCCTATCAAGTTCCCAAGCCAATTCTGTAGCAAATTCTGGCTGATTGGTATGCTCTACGGGGTCAGTAGCCAACTGTTCACCATCAAACTTTGCTTCAACTACAAGCACGTGCTTGGGTCGTTTTGGAAAATAGCGTCCTATAAAAGAGCGTAATTACCATGCACCATTACTAAAAAAGAAGTGAGAGCTCAGATTTATGCCATAAACCAACTTTATAATAATATATTTCCTGTATCATCTTCTCTGTGCTTACCCAAACCTATGTTCTTCATATTAAAAAAAAAAAAGACTTCCCACTATGCAGAAGTAAGAAAGAAGAACATAACATGAAACAAACTATTTGTAAACCATCCAGAAATAGCAAGACATTAAGTAACAAAGAAAGAAGAGAAAGAAACTAGACAACTAGTATGATTTAATTTTTAAAAATCTATGAAGGAACAGATCAAGAGAACAGGTGACATACAGAATCTTTTGCCTCTACTGCAGATTTTACCACTGTCCCACATCAAAGCAGCAAAACTAATGAAAGCAGTGAAAGATGCTTTTCCAAGTACTTGTTATTTTTTAAAAAAATCATGACTAGATTAGGAGAGTGCCTAAAGCTGTACTGGATTTGTACTGGGTTCGGCATCATCCCATATTCTGATTAATAACTGAAATGACAAAATGAAACTGCACTTTTGAAATTTACATGTATCACAGTGTGGCAAGGGGCTACTTGCATGTCAGAACACAGGATCTTATTTTAAAGCTACCTTGGCAAACTGCATAAACGGACAGAGAGATAAGATTTACTTGACAAAGAGAAAGCATTCAGACAAAAAAAACCACCTAAACAAACAAAAAGAAATACCCCAAACCCCATAAATCTAGACTTGCACACAAATTACATCATAGCAAGTATAACCTGTAGAAATACAGAATGAAAAATTATTAGCTAGGTATTCAAGTCAAGACTAAAAAAATTACAGCAGATTACTAGTAGGGGATAGAAACACTAGAATACTACTAAAAAAAAAAGAGGGACAGGCACATGAAACTATCTGATCATCACAAGACATCAGATGGACTCCAATGGTCCAAAGTTTTCCTGAAGTGTGGCCTGCCTAGAAAGGCTCCACAGACAGTGAGAACCTGAGCCTCCCCGAGTCATAGAGAAGGGCTAGGGATGTTGCTGTCTGTGGCCAAAACCAGAGAGGGCCAAATTGCTGCTGGGCTGCCTCTGTTATGGTTTCTTGTAGCCCCTGGGGAGGGCTGCGGTGGGGGCTTTAAACGCCCACGCAGGCAAGGTGAGCTTGGCAATGCAGAAAGACAGATAATATTTTTTTTCCAGAAAAGGAAGGATGCTGTCATCATTCATGTAATACAATACTGTGTGTAAATACTTCCAGAAACTAATTAGGGGTGGTTTATTCTAGCTTGTAAAATATGTACGCCCATAGCCTTATTATAATAACCAGTTTAATAAATACAGCTTGGCTTATTCAGCTCGCTCCACGAAGCAAACACATTCGGATGCAGCGACCACCCCTTGCTTTCCTTGCAGGAAGGAGACGGCGACCGGCA